GCAGACAAGGTGTCCTGCCAGGAGAGGTGATCAAGTCTAGATGATTCTGCGCATTGATGCAGCACCTCCTTATCTCCCCACAGACCACATAATAGGTCTTGTGTTTCCATACATCTCTCCTCCAGTGTATCCTCTTACTCCTTTCTATGTCCACCAACCACCAGAGGCTCTGGAGGATCATGAACTTGGTGATTCCAAGCACAATCATGCCAACCACCCCATGCCACAGCCTTCCCCTCAAACTTGTTTGCCTCTGAGCGCTGTCTTCCTCTGCTGAATTTTGCTGAAAAGTTAGTGCTTCATGGACAAAAGAATCACAGAATGGTTGGGGATGGAAGGGACCTCTGGAGGTCATCCAGAGCCCCAGTCATGCCCTGCCATGGTTCTACGAGCAGCTGGAGGGTCCCTGCAGCCATGGACAAAGGAAGCTCTGCACCAGCCACCTTCTGTGTGCAACTTAACATACGTTTTCTGATTCATGGACCCATTGGCTGGTTTGTGCTGTCTTTTTAGGAAACCTTTCAGGGCTTTTCCTTTTGCATAAGGATTGCATAAGCTTTAACTTCCTAGGAAACTGGGCTAAAAAAAATTTCAAAGCATAATGAGTGTCACAGCTAAGATTAGAGCCTGCAGGCAGGGATGTGTAAATCAAATGTGTGCTATGTAGGAAGCAACACTGTCACTGAACCCAACCGGCTCCTTGTGAGCTTCTGAGAATCTCTCGCAGATTTCAGACCTCTGGTGGACTCTCTAGGATGCAGGAATGAGCAAATCTGAGGTTTAGTATCAGAATAAACAGGGCCTGGAATTCGTATCACAATAAACAGAAGAACCAAAGGACTTGTTTGATTTGCAGTCACTGTCACATCCTATGATAATTAATTTCATTAACAGGGCTGATATCAATCTCTCATTACTAAAGGAAAGTGTCAGAAACAGAAGCAATTGCTCTCATTACACATCTGCTCCACCTAGACCAATACATACTCTGCTCCCATGCTGGCAGGACTGCCAGTGTTAGGAGAGCAGCTGCACCCTCACTGTGCTGGCAAAATGAGCTTCCTTGCAGACCAGCAAAGGCAATGTACTGTGAAGTTGTGTGTGAGGACCTGCACTTTTAAGGATAAGGAACACTCTGCACGGCAGCCAGCTGACCTACATTTACAGCTGAAGATGTAAAGCTAACCCACAGGGACTTCTGTCTAACCTACAAACACAGAAGGAGGGCTACTCAAGCAGACTGTGGCTTTTAAAGCTATGAACTGAGCAGGAGCACCAGCATGGGGACAGGCTTTTCCACGTGCAAGAAGCAGCCCAGTTCAATACACCTTGGTAGGGCACTGCCAGCAGGGGAGCACATCCCAGGATAAGTCCTACCACCTCAATATGCCTTGCTGCAGGGAGGAAAGCACAGTTCTGCTGTGTGGAGGCAAACAGAGCGAGCAGGGAGATGGCAGCCTGGGCTAAGCTGGGCAAGCCAGGCCCTGGGGTCCCACTGCAGGCAGTAAAGCTGCAGCAAAGGCAGTGCTGCTGTGCTGACTCTGTGGCCAAGCTCATGGCACCAAAGCTCACACAAGGAGCAGCACTGAGCCACAGACACAGCTCGCCACGTGAGCAAGGGCAACCTTCAAAAAACAAAGGGGACAAACAGTGCATTGTAGGGTTGCTAAGCCATAAAGGGAGAAGAGGAAGAGAGAGAGGCACCTTCCCCAGGCACAGTGGTGATAGTTGCATTAGCAGAAGAGAACCACACGCACTTGGGACCAGATTTTTAACTCCCATCAAACAAAGTAGCTCTGTTGAGATCAGCACAGTGGTGCTCCACAGTATATGAGGATCTTCCCATTGGCATGAATCAGCCTTTAGAAAAAGCAGGCTCCCTCTTAATTTGCTGAGTCCTTCCCCCAGAACACTGATTTTTCTCGAACAGAGCATTCCCTGTCCCACTGTGAAGCTGCAAGGTCACATGACAAGTAAAGAGTATATCAGCTCTTTTTGCTACAGTGGTAAAAGAAAGACATAAAAGAAAAACTGACAGTTATTATAAGGCAAAATTGCATATCCTAAGCCCACCTTAAGAGAGACTGTAAGTGTTAATTAAGCTACCTTGCCTATAGTAAAATTACATCACACCATGTCTTTCCTGAATAGCAGTTCTATACTTTGGAATTTTATGAGACAAACCAGAGCAAGGAATAGTTATGCTGGGCTCTGTAAATGTATGTAAATAATTACAGAAGGAAACAATTAATAAAGCCTGGATAGAAAGACAACTCCCAGATTACTCAGTATTAATTTCCTTTTAGTTTCATTTTACAGAAATCTAACCATATTTTATCAAAACTCCACACAGACAAGACTTTTCCTGAGACCATGCAAATGCCTGGTGCAGATGCAATAACCTGGGAGCCAGTGCAGCTTAACTGCAGCAGAGAGCAGGGACTGACTGCTGAGACACAGCCACGTGTCTGACTTGCGACTCAGAGCTTGTGTTGGTGCGAGTTGCTGCAGTGGGTGTCTATATTTATCACACACTTGACTGGGTCATGTTTGTTACCTTGGTTCTCAGGTAGAAGTCACCTCCATATAGGATCTTCATGGCATTTCTGTGACAGCCCAATGGAAAGTGTGATGCCCATATACTGGAGCCAGCATGGGACATCAGCTTGAACACAAACCATTCATATTTCCATACATCATATCTTTGTCCTTCCACCCAGCCAGAGCCTTGTACTTCTTAACTAAGAAGGTAAATAAATACTTTCTCTTTTTTTTTTTATATTATACTTTGGTGACCACCATATTAAATAAGGTCAAGAGGAATGAGGTTTGGTTTGCAGACCAAACAGGAACATTTAATATAAAAACCTAATCTGCTGTGATAAAACTCCTTGAGGAAATTCCCGTTTCCTGTATCATGGATTCTGGAAAATAATTCAAGTCACAGAATCACAGAATCATAGAATATCCTCAGTTGGAAGGTATCCATAAAGACTACTGAGTCCAACTCCTGGCCCTGCACAGAGCAAGTGTTCACCATTCCTTTGCTGAGACAGGTGCATTTTCCTACCATGCTTTTTTCCAAGCACAATCTTTTCTATACAAAGGTTGAGGCAATTACCCATGACTGTCCCTGACAAATCTTATCAGTTCAGCAAGTCAATTCTAAATTTTACTCCTCACAGATTTCAGCAAGTTCATGATTAGCAATGATTTTTGGCCAAAGTTAGGGCCTTTTTACTTGTAGGAAATAGACATTTCTATTCATTCACGGAAGTTGGACTAGAAAAACATTTCAAAAGTGATTACATGATTCAACATCATAAGCCCCTAAACTACTTTTCAAACCTAGGTCAGAAGCTTTAAAGCTGCTTTTGACAACTTTTAAGTATTTTACCTTAATCTTGTGCTACAGCAATTTACAAGAACCTGAGGAGATGACAGATCATTCCACAGTAAGGAAAAGCCTGTCAGACATCATTTTTGTTAGTGACCATCTCCTCTAAGAACAGAGGTATTGACCAGCATATATTCCACGTGGCAATAACATATTTACTAAAACCTGTACAGTCATCTGGATTAATGAAACATTGCAGAACTCTCTCAAGGAATCCAAAATAACAAGTATATAGTCCTTCTGTAGTCTAGCCTGAAAGTTACAAGCCTGTAACACCACACAGAGTGTTTTCCTCAAAAAATTCTTCCTAAGAAGCCAGCTGAAAAGAGAAACCAGGTATGCTGGGGAAGCATTTTAAATATTAGCACGAAAGCAGCAAATTAAATGGTTATACAACCTTTAAAGTTGTCCCATCCTCCCCCCAACCTTCAGTTACCTATGTGGAGACAAATTTTTTCAACTTTGTGTCTTGTACTAACTCTCCATTGTGAGAACCTATTTTAGCCTAGATTCCCACAAATTGCCACATTTTAATGGTTTATTCACCAAAGGAGCAATGCCCATCTAGACACACTTAGGCTGCTGCATTTTAATGTGGGTGGTGGGGAAGACAAGCACCAAATCAATATGATTTATAAGCAAGCTCCAACTTTATTCAAAGATACCTTAGCTTATATAGGGTATTCTACAAGCATAGTCAGCAGTAAGCTCTGATTGGTTAATTTACAAAAGTCTTTGTTTTACTTCTCCTACCAGAAGTTACACATGTAGCTAAATTCTCCAAGCCAAGTTTTTTAATCTCTAAGTCATGTTTTCCAAGGACAGAGCTTGGAAAACAGGCATAGCTCTTCAGGGCTATGCCTGTCCTTGTTATCTCCTTCCCAGACCTTGCACAACTAAGCAGTTTCCCAGGCCTCGAAACAGAGACTGGTTCCCAAGCTCTGTTTCAGACAAAGCCTGATTCTGGGTCTTAGACAGAGGTTTTTTGGAACAGGTATTCCATAGAATCATGGCCTTGTTCCAACAACCATTCCCCAACAGCGTTTCATCAAACACATGACATGATGGTACAGAAATGCACCATCTGCTTTAGGGCTTAAGCTTTCATATTGGGCCCATCTTTTGCAAAAGATTAAGGGGACACAAATCTTTGTGTCCCCCTACACTCTTATATGGGGTCATGGGTGAGTGAGTCTGTGCAGTTTTGCCATTTGCTAATGCCAAAGGAGAAGCTGAAACTACTTTGGGGGTGCTGACAGTGTTGCACAAGTCTTACTCATGAAACTTTCCCAAAGAGAGTCCTACAGGCTTTTATTTCCCCCTGCTTCCATCCTGCATCTCCTTATCCCTGGGAGGTTCACACGAACACTGTGAGGGAGGAAACCTCTTGTGTTTGGGGAAGTAGAAGTGCACATCCACACATGCTTTGTAAACACTTCAGTTTACATTAAAGGCATGAGCTGTATATAATCATTATCATTTTGTGGTAGGGACACCCAGAAAGGTCCCAGACACTGCCTGCCCACTAAGATCAAAGTGGCTGCAAGAGCTACACCATTAAGGGAGAACATGAGCTTCTCTGGAGAGGTCCTGTCACCCATCCATCTGCTGCAACTGTGGGTGTAGGAAACAGGGTGTCGCCTAGCTCCTGTTTTCTCTGAGACTGCAGTGCTCTGCAGATAATAATGAGCAAACTTCAGCAAGTATTGCTTTCCAAGATGGTATTTCCATGGAGATATTCCCGAACGTCTCCAGCTGGTGTCCTGCCTATGGATTTCAGTTTTGCTTCTAGAAGGTATGATAAATAATGTGATTGAAAGCAAATATGTTGTCTATCCTAGGGATTCTGTTTATCAGGTTGGTGGGTTTTTTGGATATGCATATTTCTTACACAGAAAGAAATTCTAATTTTTCTTTGCATTGCTTTCTAAATTTCTTCTCTGGTTAATTTTTATCTATCCCTGCATGCCAGGCATCCTGGAATCTGGATTGTACACCATGGAAAAGCCAGCCTGACATATTCTGTGAAAGAATGGAATTTGCCAGGGGAGAAAGAGCCTTCCTGGCTATAACCAGTGTGATTTGGAATGTGAGGAGGTTGCTGGCTCTGCTGCTGAGGTGGGTGCAGCATGCTCCAAGCCTTCAGACTAGAATATTTTGAGCTATCTAGGGTACCTTCTCCTGGTAGTGTCCATTCCCTTACTCAAAACAATATTTTGCTAAGAAAGCTGAGATCAGTTGTTAGGTTCTGTATTCCTTGAAAATAAATGCCTTACTGTTGCAGAAGCTGCAGAGCATGTGATTAAAGGATGCCATATGGGCCATTTATTAACAATGAAAAATGAATGCACCATTTGTCAGGCTGTAATTGAAATGGAAGAACAATTCCAGTTTTCACTCCCACTGTTGATCTGGCTATCTGTATCACAGAGCATAAACAGTTTCTTGCCTTATTACTCCTAGCATGAATCCACAGCACATTAAGTTTACACATGGATACTGAGAGTAAATATTTCATGTTATGACTCAATAACATGCTGGTATATATGTAAGCATATTGCCTACCATCTTCCCACTTACATACATGTTAATGGGATTATGTTTATATACATATACAGAAGTACTAATTCACATCCAAGCTAACCAACAAACCCAACAAATATAAAAATAAAATCACAGCAGACAGTTTACATGTCATCCTGAATTTCAAGTGTTCTAAAATATATTTGCAATAATAGCAGCATGGGTCCACATTCTAAATGACCATGCTGTAAGAGCATTGCATAGAAGCTTTTTTAAACTGTCAATACAAAATACAAATCAATGTATTTCCACTTTCTTAACTCAGGTCTTAATCTAAAAACAAAACAGTTCCACAAAAATGCTTTCTTAAGTCAAAGAATCATAGTTTCATTTCTGCAGAATTGCCAAATACAATCATTAACAAAGATCACAAGCTTTATATTTTTAGACGCCTCCTCTTTTTTCCATTTTCTGGCCTCAAAGTAAAATGTCTAGAACTGCCCTTATCTTTTGTCTACTCCAACAAAACTGAGAAACTTGCAACATTTACAAGGCTGAGGGAGGCAATTGGGGTGCAAAGCACCACACCAGACTGAGAGTGGAACAGGAAAAAAATCTGCCATTCTTTTTGGAGGGTGGCTGCAGTCATGGCCTTCCCACTGCTCCAGGTGAGGGCCAGGCCAGGAAAGGGCAATTGATTCCATGTGACTGATCCTCATCCCCTGCCCTGCCACAGGGCCCTGGGCCACCCTTGCTTCTCTGGGGCTGCTCATAGAGAGCACCAACACAGCTCAGGCACAGGGAACATTCCTTGGGTATCCATCCCATGGTGCCCAAAGTGAGGCCACCTCTACCTTTGGCTTGACAGTGACAGAGATCAACAACATTTTGCCTGTTGTGGCACGTAGAGTAATGGCAAACGCTCAAAAATAACTAAGCAGCCTGTGTTCAGCTCTTTCAGGATTACTATTTTGCTGGAAGACAGCAGCAGCACATTAGTAACAGGGTTTCAAAAAGCCCTTTGAATAATCAAGAGAATCACTCATTCCCCTCCAAATAAATTGCATCCTACTTAGTGACAAAACTCCATTTCTACCAAGGGTTACCTTCAATGCGTCTCATTTAAATCTTAAACCAGAAAAATTCACATCTTCACTCACATTTCCTCTCCTTTTTTCCCCCCTTTCAACATTACAACTATAACAACCACAGATTGCAACTTCACAGATGCATGTTTGACACTAATACAAAAAACTTCTCCAGGAGGACAAACAGGTACTGAGCTGGTATGTCAGTACTATGTTTTCCACATTTGTTAAACTTAAATCTTAACCTGAGATAAGCTCTAATTCAGATTTCACAAGAAAATCCCAGGAAATCACAAACACATCTGTAACACTAGGTATAAAACAGCCTCATCTTCCATATAACGACAAGAGCCTGTGATTTCTAGAAGGGATGTTTGAAATCCAATGAATGTGAATGTCAGCTTCCCATGGCTCCCTTGGAAGCCTCAGCCAGCAAGAACAGGAGCAGGAATGATGCAGAAACACAGGAACAACCAAAAACATAGCTTAGACTATTTTCAGGGACAAATAAATGTTTAGAAGACATTTAGAACCAAAGTTTGTCAACGCTACCTGGCACAATGGCACAAAAGTCGTATTAAACCAGATTTGCTGCATCATTTCTCATTAATACAAAGTTCTACTTCACTCTCATAACTACAGGTGGTAACACATGACTTCATGGACAGCCATTCCACTTGTCATGGGAGCCAGTTCAACAAATTATTTATTTCTGAGCTGAAACTGAGATAGAATTCCACCAAATGAGGCCTCCCCTCTACCCCACTTGTAAGGAGAGACTCCTCCTTACAGCTACAGCTGCAAATCAGTGTTCATGTCTCTCCTACACCTACAAACTTGGCTCTCCCACTTTACTCTGAGAAGAGGACACTCAAAACATAACTTCAACACAGCTTGGAAAGGCAGCTGGGGTGCAGGTGATCCAAAGAGGCTATGCCAGCCCCATGCCATCCATTTCCGATTCCCTGAGGAGCCCATTGCATTCCAGGCCAGTATGGTTCTGCAAAGCTATTCCAGCCAAGGCAAATCATGGAGCTGCTCAGGTTCCTCCTTGGCCCTCAGGAAGGAGTGTGAGGAAAAGCATCATTGCCATCAACAGTTGTGCTACTCACAGCCCATGAGTAAGGGAAGTTCTAGCTCAAGAAGTCTTCGGGGACTGTGTATAGCTTTACCCAGCTAGAATTTAATACTTTGTCTTAGCTCTGAGGAAGATATATTGTCCCAGCACTATGTTCAGCAGGGATCTGTTTGCAGAAAACACTGACACCCCACTTCCTGCACCACCTCTCCTAAAAAAAACCCTACAAAATATTAGGGAGAGGTATTTTGAACAAGTATAGTGATAAAATGTTGTTTCCCAAAGCTGAAAAAAACACACATTTTCAAACTCCAAGTATCAGGGGCACTGCAGGTTGTTAGAATGAAACTCAGGTTATTTACTATCATTTTTTGAAGCAGCAGGTATGATTCACTCAGGATAAACTGCACCTTTGTATATTATAGGATTGCTGCAGTTTAAAAAGCTGCATTCCTTCATTCTGTTCCAGTGCTGCTGGTCAACCATCAGTTCCTTAGGTAGCAATATTTTTTGAGGCTCTTCAGAAATATTTATCTGTAGAGCTATTCGCAACTGATGGAGGTGCAATGCAGCATCCTGCCACTTTGAGCACCACACACTTTGGGGGCTACATTAAAAACATTCCCTTCCTTTGCTCTGCCCTAATTTTGCTCTGTGGCAAAGCACAACTTGCAAAACGATCCATAGCATCAAACTTCACAGAAGTTACCCTTAAAAAAGAAAGGGCAAGATTAATCAGCAATTTTTAGAAGACTTGAGCAAATATTAGCAAGCAGCTCTGGTATTTTGAGTTTCCACTAGCAAAATAACAAAACCAAAGGAAACATTTTAATATCAACATCTTGCAGCTGCATTTTGCTCTCTCGTGGCTAAAAGCTTAAATCAATGTGTTGCAGCACAGGAAAATACCAGAGGAGGACACAAACACAGTATTTTAACTCAGATCATTGCAACAGCTAATCGAGCATTTTGTGACAGCAAGCCATTTAGCAAGTACATTTTCACATAATTAGGCAGCAAACGAGACACGATGCACGGGAGCCGCGCATTTAATTGTGTCAGCAATTAGATCATAAAGCATATAGACGTAGCTATACGGACCTGGCTTTCTGTACTCACCGTGCAGCAAGGCATGGGTGTTACCTTGGTCTCCAAACAATTGCTTTAGAGCCCCAGGCAGAGCAACCTTCCTCTCACTCTCATCTCGGGCAAGTCAGTGCTTCTGGAAGGTGGCCAGGCAAGATCAGATTCATCAGCCAATAAAATTGTCTAAAGCTGCCGTTCCACAGGAGACTGTTCCTCGGGCTGCAGCCTCAGGAGCAGCCAAGAAAGGAGAAAATCAGCATCAGGGCACAGGCGAGCGTTTTGCCCCATCCTAAGGGTCTGCTTGCCAAAACTCCAGCCTTCCCCTGCCTGTGCTGCTGCACGCAGTCATCCTGCATGAAAAACAACTTGCACTTGGCTTGCCTGGCTAAAATAGGTGCACAGCTATTCTGAACACTGACAAGGGTAAAGGAATCACTCGGGCAGGTGGAAGCAATACAGTGGCATTTGGAGCAATAAACTCATGCTGCTAGAGGGGTACCACAGCTGACCCAGCTTTTTGTGGGCACTGGGAATTACTGCTCACACAATGTTGCTTCTCTCATAGACAGTTCATGGTGGGCACTGTGGAGCCTGTGAAAATCTTACCTCTATTTTATCTTCCAGAACTGGACCTGCTGCAGTGGCTGTGGGAAGCCATCCTGTCCCCAGCCCCACATGTTTGACCTGGACTTCGTTGCCATTCAGAGGAGCCCTTGATTTCACCCTGCCAGTCCTACAGCAGCAGCAAAATATCCCAGTGTGAACAATGCTTCACAGAGGAGCTGTCTGACATCCTGGGACCCTTAGAGCTTGCCTCTCCTTGGAAAAAACAAAAAAGCCAGTAAAAAAAAAAAAATCAGTCTTACTATGTGTTATTTAACAGTAAATCCTGAAGATGACTAGGCATTGGTGACAGTTATGCATGAAAGCAAGTCCAGAAAAGCCTTTGGAGGTCTTTACTTGTAAATTTACAATCTGAATAAGACCAGGCCTATGTATTATCAGTCTGAACACACATATTTTGGCAGCAGATGATACATTTTGATACTAAAATCTTAGCAGAGAAAAAGCACAAGTGGTCTCTGCACAGTTTTACTGCCCTGCTGGCATTTACCTCCCCAACCTCTCTGAGGTTAAAACTATTTGGATTTGTTTCCTCAGAAATCTTGCACCAAGGTGCTTTATCGGCAAAGCTGAGTTGCCACCCAATCTGACAGCAGAAATCCCAGAAAACCTTGGTGAAATCCCATTCTCAGCAACATTGCTTTGTCTCCTGACACAAAGGAAAAGTAAATGCCATCCAGTCTTCACCTGCAATGTTACATACCCTCACCTTCATCTATTGGAGGACAAAATTGTCTGTAGTGCAGACAGTCCATTGGAAGGATGAGACTTTGCAAAAAACTACACTGCACCTTGAAATGGGAAGGGATTCTTAATGAAAATCCAAATTAGAAGGAAAAAAACATTAGAATATAAAGATCGGAAGTTAGAATGAATTAGATATTGGAATAGGGTCAGCAAGACATCATTAACAATAACTGGTTTTTGTTTTCATGTTCCATTTACTTTAATCTCCTGCTTTATATGGATATATTTTTACATATTTATGTGAGACCTTTGCTCTCTTCTTACATATTTATATGAAACCTCTCCTCTCATGCTGGTACTACAGCTAATTGAAGGACAACAAGCCAAAGATGTGTCCCCTGGTCTCTGAAGGCTGTATTACACTGGAGGAGCTGGAAAAGAGGCTCCCCAGAAGCCACACTATGCTAAAATCAGGCAACACAGAGGCACAGCCTGACTGAATTCAGCAGCCTAGACTTTGTACTCTGATCTTGAAAAGCTGCATGTGCAAGCATTTATGATCTGGATTTTCCTTTGATGTAAATTGGTATAGACCCATATCAATTCACACAGGCCTTTCTTCCAGCTGGGGATCTTCTGCTATCTCTGGAAAACACAGGGTCCCGTTTGGAGCCACGCTGTGCTGCCATATTGTCCATTCCAGGCAGCACTGGGCAGGGAGCACACACCATCCCGAGCAAGGAAATGCTGAGGGCTCCCTCCAACAGGGCCTTGGGGCTTGGAAAGAGGCTTGGCAAGCAGCAACTTCAGCAAAGCCTGCCTTGGCTGCAGAGGGGCAGCCAGGCTGGACCCACACCTCCGAGGTGCAGCTGGCTTAAGGAAACTGAGGGACACTTGGCAGCAGAAGAGGAGCCCCAACACCTCTGGGAGCAGGAGAGCACAAAGCCAGGACCCACACCAGTGACATATGAAAGAGGGGGATGCCAAGCAGGCTCCCAGAGCAGCCTGCCTCCAGGAACTTCTTTATTTTCACACAGCTGAAAATCAAAAAAACATTCAGCCAGGCAGCTGTGCTGGTGTCCCATCCTACTGGCAAGCATTGGGTTGCTTTAGGCTGGAAGTTGTGCACATTGTGCTAAAAACCTGGTGAACACATACATTTTATTCTCCTCTGTGTTTGGAGTGAGGTCAAACTGTGCAGAGAAGTGCTCCTGCAGGGTTTGGTTTATCACTCATCATAAACTTTAGTTCCAGGACTTAAATTCAGCCATGGAGAACATTTTCTAAGCTGCTTTCTGCACATATTTGAGGTGGTTTGGGCTCTAATTAATTTGGAACAGGGCAGGGAGTTCAGAAATTTTCCTTTTCTCTCTCACATCCCTGTGTCCCACTTTAGTTTTAAAGTGGTAAGGCACATCTCGATTAAGGCACAAGGAGGGATAAGAAAGAGAAAGAAAAGAAATCTAGCTGAATTACAGATGGGTGACAGGGTCACCCATCAATCCACTTGTGTACTCAAAGCTTTCAGAATCCATAACAAGAGTGGCCATGCAAATCAATGAGTCATTGCAACAGCTGAAGGAGAAAAACCCTACACACAAAAAAAAAAAAAAAAAAAAAAAAAAAAAAAAAAAAAAAAAAAAAAAAAAAGAAAAAAACCCAGAAGTCTGCTTATCTGCTGAACCTGCTCAGTGAGGAGTTTCCATATTATGCTTGTGATTTGCCTAGCCATAGCCCATTTTTATTCTCTTTAGCACATTTATCCTTTGTGAACTAGGGTGTTCCTTCTGGGAAAGCTACAACACTTTCTTACACCAGGATAGCCCAGCAGCATGCAGGAAGCCTATGGCACTCCAAGGAACTGAAGTGTATATTTGTAGTTAGAGCTAAGGCTGTTAAATCTGCATTTGGGCTTCTCTGTAAGACAAGATCAAAAGCTGCTTCCTTCTTCCCCATTTCTTCCAGCACCTGGATGTGCAGCTGGCATGCATGTGTCCTCAGTGAGGGGGCTAGACAGTCTTAACCTTTTAACAGCAGTATTCTGCTTTTCTGTGTTTTATGGGCTCAGTATTTGCACAGTTTTTTAATACTTACTTATTTTTTAAATATATAGATGACCTCAGTGTTAAAAGAGAGCTTCCCTGTGAATTGTCTACCCCTCTGAGAAGTGAGATGTCCTCTCTGGTCTGCAGGTCATCAGACATGGTATCCAGTGGCCCTTGCTTCGAGGGGGAAGGCTGCTTTGGAGTGAGCAGAATGTGGAAGGAGAGACAAGATCAAAGAATTTATCACGATTCAGTTGCAGTGCTCAGCTCTAGGTTGCTTCACACACTCCATGAACAGCCTGTGATGAGCAAAAGGGAGGAAATCAGCTCTGTCAAAGCTGGGGGTTTTGTGTAGCAGGTACATGTAATAAACATCTTCTGTGTATGGTGTCCTGTGATCTCTCATGACAGATACCCAACTTATTCATTAACACAGGAAAGGAGACCTTAAGTGATTCACAGCTGAGGAAAGAAAAAAACACGTCACGTTGCTCAGAGGTCTGATTCAGATGAAGCAACTCTGCAAGTCTAATAATGCAGCTTTTGGCCTTTAGTGTTATTTATGGGAAAAGTGAATTTGAACAAATCTGCTAGGTTTGTTCAATAAAATGAGGGGACTGGGTTTTTATTTACACACACACCCCTCCTTAAATCAGTTTGACACTGCAGTAGAGTTGATGCCCTCTGCTTGGCAGCCTCATTACCATCTGTAACAAATGTAACATAAATAATTTATGTTGTAAGAGCAAACACAGTTTAGAAGAAAGAAAACATTTAGGAAATCTGGGATCAGAAAAGGCTAGAGTGAGTCAACACGGGCCTCTCTGTTTCCATGGAATTAAGAGCACTACCCTACCCGCCTTAGCTGCAGTCAAAGAGCAGCCCAAGTGACCAGGCAGGAAATACTGCCTCAGTTTACCAGAAAGGGAAGAAGAGCACTAAGCAGGGAAGGAGATCTCCCAGGCTGGGAGTGTGCTGGACTGAGAACCAACAGGAGCCAAATTTGTTTTCCATCTCTGTTGTTGATTTCTGTCCCACTCTAGGCTGACCCCTAACTGTGAGGGGCAGGAAATCTATATAAATAAATGAAAAATTTTAGCAAACAGCTGTTCTGGCATCAATATCTTGTCACATCTCATTTTCTGCTTGTTGAACCAAACTTTACCCATGCTTCCTCTGCTGCACTTGGCCTAATTTATCATGCATTATGTATGTCCCACTGTCTCAGAGTTTAATTATTCATTAATCCCTCCACCCTCACCTTATTCCCCTTCCACGTGCGCAAGGACCAAGGGGCACAATTCATCAACTCAAGCTCTCCATCACCACCAGCTCTCCAAGGTGGGAGCCTGCAGCCTGGCCCAGCTGTGGACATTGCTGGCCCTGCCTGAGATCCCCACATCCATGGATTCGCCACGTGCCTCAGACCTCGGGAAGACGTAGGAGCACTGCCTTGGGCCTGGCTGCTGATGCACAGAAACGTCATCTCCTCTGGGGCTCCTTAACAACCCTCCTGCCTCCCAAGCAGCTGCTGTAGGCTGGGGGCAGCCCAGTGTAACTCCTAAAAATGTGGGAGGGCCACCAAGGCGTGTACCAAAAACCCCAAAGCGAGGTCGGAAACAAATTCTCCTCATCCCCCACAATAGTAGGAGCCCTGTGGAGCCACCTCAGTGCCCTCCCTCTCACCTGGGACGGGACTCATTGTTTCTCCCAGCACCATTTTCACTCCATTTCTGCCTGGAGGGAAATGCCTGAAGAAGGCAAACCTTCCTGCTGGGTGCCAGCTTGCACAGGGGCCACGCCAGTGCTGCTCCCAGCAATGGTGGGAGTCGGGGGTAGAGTAGATGTGGCCACATCCGACAAGGCCTGATGGCGGCAGGGTGGGCAGGAGAAGATCCATGCCTGCTGTGGTGCAGGAGAAGATCCCTGCCTGCTGTGGTGCCCAGGTGCTGGCAGCTGAGGAGCAGCCACTGTGAGGAGAGGGGCCAGGGGCTGCCCCATGGCTCCCCAGCCACACCACCGTGCACTGCCTCTCCCTGAAACTGGAGCTTTCTCTGGGAAAAGGTTCTCCAGTGAGAGCACAGCTCTCAGCAATAGCGAGGGACAGTGTGAGGAATAGCCCTGACAGCAGCCTGGGGTGCACGAGAGGCGAGACAGCATAAAGAACATTCATAAACCCATGGAATGAGGAATTACATACAGCACAAAGATATTTCTGAGAGCCAGGATCTAAAAGATGTTCTCAACTGCCAGTGCAATGGGAATCTTGGTTTGACTTGGGTGTGTTCTCAACAGGATCATGCATGGGACCTGTGAAGCATAAGAAAGCACTTGATGCCAGCCAGTCCTTCCAAGTCAGCCCCCAGCACACAAGTCCAGCCAAAGTGAGAAAAAGTAGAAAATTATTACTGGTTTTTGTACCTTAAGTGACAGATAACATTGCTTTTTTATTCCAGCCCCCATTTCTAATCAGCCACAAATAGATTGTTTTTTTTAAA